ATAGATAGATAGATAGATAGATAGATAGATAGATAGATAGATAGATATGTTTATCTCATGAATATGAATAAGTGGAAGCACAAGTTTAAGCAGAACTAAGAAAAACCAAATATCATGATTATATTCTTAACACACAAACTAATGAATTATATCTAAAAGAATTTTTTTAATGAGTCCGTATCCAATTTTTTGCACCTATCGAGTGATAGAAAAGAGTCCTGAAAATTTTGGACATGATCTCATTGTCATCTGCTGGGGAGGTTTCACTGTGAGTCGAAAATGTTTTGCAGAAAGATTTGGTTACGGGTTGTTCTGTGCCTTTGATTGTGTCCCATGATCTTCATCAGCAGATTGACTTTGCTCAGACTTTTTGGGGGGGAAGGGAACGTTATGCTAGTACTTGCGTAATAGCCGGGAATCAGATTTTTCTCAGACTTTAAAAAGCGACAGTGGGGACGTGGGACATGGTAAGTACACGCTTCATTGCATTATGAAGTTAGAAGGTCCTTGTACAGTAGATTTAGTGCCTTACTCTGACAGAAAGAATTTGGATTCCTTGTGCACACTGTTGATCACCTGTGTTCACTTTATTTAAGTCACAGATGTTCATGTCACCTAAATTTCACAGCTCACCAGTCTGACCGGTTCAGTTACCGTAACCCAGGAGATCCAGGATTTAATCTGATCTAATTATATGATCAAATTTGAAAATGGCTGCTTCCACTAGAGCTGGGAAATTTCCATCTGCTGATGAAGATTGTCGATTTCCCGGAACAGCTGTTTGTTTGTTTGTTTTTTTCCCGTCTCCATTGGCGGTCCCATCAGATATGTGGTTTGCTCTGAGTGCTGTCTCATCTCCCGTCACGTGTGTGCTCCCCCCCTCAGGTACGACCCCCGTCACAACAGCTGGTGCTGCATCCAGCCCCTGCAGCAGCAGCACGCCGACCACTGCGTGTGCGTGCTGGCCGGCCACATCTACGCCATCGGCGGGCGCGACTACAGCAGCGAGCTGGACTCGGTGGAGCGCTACGACCCGCACACCAACAAGTGGGAGTTTGTGACGCCTCTGAGGAGAGAGGTAGGGTCAAAGATGGAAAAAAACAAACCGTGTGTATGTGATACCGCCGTTGGCCCACACGATGGCGCCAGGTGGTCAGCGGCCGGGCTCCTGGCGTTCCCCTCTGACCGGCTCCATCTTCGCCTCCAGGTGTACGCGCACGCCGGGGCGGCGGTGGACGGCAAGATTTACGTCACGTGCGGCCGCCGAGGGATGGCGTACCTCAAAGAGACCCAGTGTTTTGACCCCGCGGCCAATCAGTGGACGGCGTGCGCGGAGGGGCCGGTGGAGCGGGCGTGGCACGGCATGGCCGCCGTCAACGGGCGGGTTTACGTCATCGGAGGCAGCAATGATGAGCGAGGGCATCGGCGGGACGTCCTGAAGGTACTTTACGGTTTCTCTGGCAGGCTGGCGTCCATGTTTGGTCCCGCCACAAGCTCAGAGGCCACATGGGGTTCGAGGCGCTGTCTCGTTTGAGCTATTTTTCCGAAAGTAACTCGCTAAACTTCCGCTTCCAGGTGGCGTGCTTCAACCCCACCGCCAACTCCTGGTCTCTGATGAGCCCCCTCCCCTCCGGGCACGGGGAGCCCGGCGTGGCCGTGCTGCACGGCCGCATCTACGTCCTGGGGGGGCGCTCGCACGACAAAGGAAACCGGATGAAGTACGTGCACGTGTACGACGCCGAGGCGGACGAGTGGGAGAACGAGATGGAGTTCAAAGAGCGGGTGTCGGGGCTGGCGGCCTGCGTGGCGCTCATGCCCCCGGCTGTCATCGCTCAGGCCAGGAGCTGGGAGCAGCGCACCAAGGCATCGTGGGAAGAACTGAACATGGACAGCTCAGAGGCCTCCAGCGAGGACTGAACGCACTCACAATACACTTCCTCTTCAGATGTGAGTCCACTGTTGCATGCAAACCCACGCTGAGAGCCTCTCTGAACCAAAATGTCTCCTTTGGGACCCTTTGCACCTGTTTTTGCAAATTTTAAGATTGATGGTACATGAACACAATCCAGGAACCCATCCCAGCTCAAATATGCTGACCTGTCTTCTGTTCTCCTCGGTCTTTCTCCATCACACGAGGCTGAAGGCTGCAGAGCTAAAAGCTAAAAGCTTGGAGCAGGTTACATTCAGCTGCAGAGTTTGTTTTTTTCTCGTTTCAGACTTTTGGACACATGATCTTCCAAACCTGAGAGCTTAGACCTAATCAGTTGTTTTAGGCAACTGCTTCTGTTGCTATCTGTTTGTTATTTTTTAAAGATCTTCTATGAAGCTATCATCAGATCCCAACAACTGATCTGCTTAAAATCTCTTAATTGTGCCTTGTTCTGTTGTTATATCCATATCCCTGTTTTCTGTTATCACCGTAAGTACAGATGAGCCTTTAGGCTGAAAGTCTGTTCCTGTTTGTACTGAGTGATGAGGCAGTGGTGCTGTAGGTTGTAGATCTTCCATCAAATTATGTGTCCACAATAGCGGAGCGATAACCAAACCGCTCCTGAGTTTTGTGACTAACTCACACACTGCACAGCTCAATATGCATAAAAAGGAAAGGCTCATTTTTAGAGGTTTTTCTGTTCGTCTTGTCTCTTCAAATGCTTCTGTTTGCTGCCTCGATTAACTCTTAATTCTTTTTGATATAGAGAGGAAATAGGATGGACAACGCGCTCTTGTTTGTGTCGGTAGCGGGTTGAGCGGGGGAGGCGGCCTGTTTGAAATATATTTATTTTTTCAAAATGATAAGAAAACTAATTATCGCTGTCGCTCACGCGGGGTAAGCAAGTCTTTTAAATCAAATAAAGATAGTAATTTATCATTCTTGTCCTGTGCATGTGTCATTAGGGATCGCATGCTTAGCTGGGGGGTGTGTGTGTTGGGTGTGTGGACTTCCTGTTGGGGGACTAAGCAGTGAGGCTTCTTAGTGTTGCACCAAGACAACAGTTAAATAAAGGAAAGTTGTGGAGTCGAATCGGAGGCTGATTTGAAAGAATTTCTGTAAAACCGGGGGAAACTTGGAGTTCTTCTGGCTGGCTGGCTGTTTTTTCCCCGGACATAAAGGGCTTTTACTCTTGCCCTCCGCGTGGTCTTTGATTTGATTCTTTTATTTATTCCAGCAGCATGATGCGGGATACCCGCAGCTGCTTCTTCTCCCCGTCTGAACCCCTGATGGTAGCGGTTGTTACCCTCTTCCCTTTTATTCCGCCCAGTCTCCACCAGTTCCTCTCCATTTGGCTCTAGACTCCATCGGCTTTATGAAGGCTGACTGCTACTTTCCTCTCCGAGGCTGTTTCATCTGCATCTGTTACCCCCCACCAGCTCTGAGCGAGCACCCCCTCCCTCCTTCTGTTTCACACTATTGTGCCAGCCCCCGGCAAGTTGTCTGGTAGGATCTGCTGACACCAGCACTGGACATCCAGGATCAACAGTCTGCTGTGTTTACGGGTCACTCTTCTTTATTCCAGAGCTATACTACCACCTGGGGGACACTTAAGACAAATGTCAGGCACTTAACCACATCAGTGGGCTTCAAAACCATCGATCTGCTGCTCTTTGCCTCGCCATTATCAAAGCAATTAAAAGCACCACATTAGCTATTGATGTACAGCTATGCAGATTAAACCCAGCGGAGTTGAGGATGTGTGTGAGTCGAGGGCATTTTCCCAAGTACCCACTTTCCCTCTCGTCTCACCTGCTGTGCTGGAGAGGAGGAAGGAAATGGAAATCAGCGGAGAACAAAGAAAGCCACCAGTGGATGGAGATCTATGCTCTGAGACGTTCCCCCTGGTCCACCTCAACATGAAATCTGTGATGTAATAAAATATGTTTTACTCAAAGACACCAGCAAAACCGAAAATGAATCTCATTCTCATTATCCGCTTTCTCATAAAAGGCCTTCTTTATTCCATTAAAACTACAGCGTTTCCCTTTAATGCCGGGCTCTGTGGTGTAATGTGTACTGCAGAGTTAGTTTAAGCTAAATGAGCTTAATGATGGCCTTCTACCGCATTTCCTGAGGCCTCAGGGACATTATTCCATTAATCCCTGAATATCTGTGTGAAAACACAGGCTTTTTAAGTTGGTTGAAAATTGTACTTTTAAAAAGACTCTTGTGAGTTTTGTGTTTGTCTGAATACTGGAATTAGTTACAATATAAACATACTGCAAATATCTGTTGTTACATATCAGGGATCCTCAGTAATAATCTGTTGCAAATCCACATTTGTGACCATCGGCTATTTATTCCCCCCTGTCTAAGTATCAACCATTTAGATTTACTTGACTTAATCAAACGTTAACGCCTCAGAAGTGTAATTCCATCATATCTCCGAATCAAAACTTTACTAAAGCATGCTCCCTGTAGACATCAGCTGCTGTCATTAAATGAGTAAATTAGAAAGTCGGAGGCTGGAAGCACTGGTTAAGCGAAGAGCCCTAATGAATAGCACTAAATAAAACCCACACTACAGCAGATTGTCCCTGAAGGGCCACCTCCATCACTTCGCCCTCCTCTTCCTCCCTCCCTTTGGGTTTTACAACGGTCATTAGCAGCTCATATCCACTCAGGGTGAAGGCGATAGGCCCTGCCTGTGTTTTTCAGTCGTCAAAAGGAACCAACAGCCCCCCATTTTCATGCCTTTTAAGGCTCATTGACATGGAGAACGAGGGTCGTGCATTGCTTTATGTGCCGGTGGGTAAACCCCAGCAGGTGAGCCGGAGTCATGGTAATACAACGTCTTTAATGCATGCTGGGCCTGTCGGGCCCACAGAGAAGGCCCCATTAGCGGAAACACAAACAAACAGCACCAAAGCTTGGGCTGCGTATCGGGGTGGTCGGGTGAAAGGAAAATCTAGGTTCAGCAAAGCTGCTGCAAATAGAATAACCTGGATAAGAAAAAAAAAAAAATAACTTACAGGAATTAGTGCATAAAGATGGACCTCTGCAGCTTTTACTAGTACCAGACTTGGAAAACCACATTTTATATGAATTGAAACTACTAAAAACATCCAATAGCTTTTTGCAGGATACAAAAAATGGCATTTCTTTTTGCCATTTCAGGCAGATGTTGGCGAATTACTATCCAAACTAAAAAAACTAGAAAATAATTAAGATAAATCTGTAAAAATGTAATATGAAATGTTTTACTCAAAGACATCAAATCAAATTACTTAAGTCTCTTTATTCTTAGTTAACATCACAGTTCAAAGACAGGCATAAATTGCACACTTAT